CTTTAGAGCTTTACATATAAACTAAGTACCACAGGTAATGCATGTTTGACATACCATTTATTGATTGACTGATTATTTAGTTCATTCATTTATCTTTTGAAGTAACATCTTGAAGCAGGTTTAGCAACATATGGAATATCCTAGTGTTCTTTGAATGGATCATTGCTCTCCCCATAGTATTTTTTTTTTTTTAGCTTTTCCTATGTTAAAGGGTGAAATGGGGAGGTTCAGAGTTAGAAGCACATTTGTTCTTTTCTTGACCCCCTCCTGACTTTAGTGTGACTTCAAGCATGTCACTTGAACCTCTTAATGACCCCAACTGTGAAACAGGGCTGCCTCACCGAGGGCTTGTGAAGAGCAGCAAATCACAGTCCTTTCTAACCAGAATCACTTGCAGACTGTGAGGGAGGTTTAATTTCCCAAGCACACTGGTCAGTTGGACTACACTTACAATGTCTTTGGGAATAATTAGATGATGGTCCTTGAAAAGCTTTTACTTTCTATTCCTATCCAGAATATTTTTAATTTTTGCATATTTTAAAATATTTCCTTTTTTCTGGACAAAAAGTTATCTAGTGTTTCCTTTTTCAGACTTCAGCGGTGGCAGAGATCATTCAGGTATTTTTACAGGAACCTGAATTTTGTGAAAATAAAGGCACTTTGACTTTTTATTTTATATCATGGACTTTAGAAAAGTTTTGGCTTCAGAGAGCATTTTGAAAATAATGCAAGTCACACGTTAAAGATAACCAATAGACAGTAGCCTGTGTAACTTCTGAAATGTGTTTCTAACTAGTTTTTTGTTTGTTTGCTGTAGGTAGGCAAGACAATTGCAAATAAGTAGAGCAGAAAACAAAATTACTGTTAGCCATCTTACACATAGAACCTTTTAGAACTATTAGTGTATTCTATAAAATGTTTCACATAGTAATGCTTGAAAGATTTAATAGATTTCCTGGTATTGTTTGTCTTCTAATTGGGAAAAGAATCCCTGTAATAGAAAATTTCTTACGCAGTATACATAGCATGTGCTGATTATCATTCTTTGACTGCTTTGGGTTTCTGCTGCTTCTAAACTAGCATTTAAATGGACCATTTGATTAATCATTTGTATACTGACTGTAATCCTCCCAAATTTCCTTCCTGAGTTGTACATACTGTAAAAGACAATTATGTCGCCACAGATTAAATAAGTGAATTAAAACAGAATAGCGGCTTAATTTGACCTGTGATTTTGTTCTCCTTCCCTTTAGTGGCGCGTATGCCACTCCAGCAAATAAATGAAGTCATCCATGACAGCTTGTGATGAATTGCCGTATTTATACTGTATATTTTAATAGCCTCACACTAATTTAAATTGAGCACAGAGTAAATTATAATTCAGTCACTTGACTGCTTGTATTTAACTTGACAACTCATGCTTATTTGTCCTGGAGGTGGAGTAGAGAGCAGGGGAAACACACTCAGGTATTTTAGTTTCTCATTTAACCCTTTCTCCAGGAACGGCTTCATATTCAGATTCTTGTTAGGGGAATGGTTTGGGGAAGGAGGCAGGAAGATCCATACTTACCTTGTATTTCAAAAGGAAAATTATCATTTGCTGTTCTTTTCTCCATTGCCTTCAAAGAATGAAAATTGGTGTTGTTTATTTTTAGCAGTTTAAAGCTCACTCCAGAGAATGCCCAGGAGAAGGGAAATTAACCTTTCACCCTCAGTGCTAAGTCTCTCAGAAAATGGAGAGCACTGGACTGGAGTTACCTTAAAATGGATTTTGCTTTCCTTCTTAAGCTTCCAGGAATTAGTTTATTTCATTTTCCACCATTACCAAATATCTATTCTAGACTGTAGCACATACCAAGAATGACCCAAACTGTCTACAGTACAATGGCTTAGCTCCACAAATAGGATTTTCTTCTCTCTATTGTAGGTCAGTGTGGCACTTGTGTTTGTTTTGGTGTTTATGCCTTTGATTTTAAATTTAGTGTAGCAATTGCTGTGTCTAGAAATAGTTTATTTAGAAGTTTGTTTAATATAGCAATGTATCTACAAAGTTTGCTTAGAAGTTTATTGCAAGGAGAATTTTAATTAAATTCCATGTCACTTAGTGGGTGCTATACTAAGTTCTTGTTCTGGTGGCTGAGGAATAAAGTATACATGAGATTCATTTCCTGCCCTTGAGGGTCAGCTCCCACCCTGGACACTTGAGGCTGCTATTTTTAGGTGAGTGTTGAAAGCAGAATGTGATAACGAGAAGTATTAAGAGCCAGAGCTAGAGATGAATTCTGATGAGTTTTCGGAGGTGTTGAGGAAGGAATTCAATCTGAGTCTTAATGGTCACACAATGACTGTGGAGTGGAGCAAAGAAGCACAGGGAATGGCAGGAGCAGAGACAGGAGGTGAAGAGATGCACAAGGCACATGTACAGAACAGGAAAATTACCTGGGTTCATGGAGGAGTGGGTTATGGTGGTAGTGGAAGGAGTTAGAATAATGAGTTGAACTAGGTTGTGGCTGAACTTTAAATGTCATGCTAGAGTTTTAGCATTTTATCGGTAGGTCATGGGAACTCAGTTAAGTGGTTTTGATCAAGGGAATGATATGGTCTCAATAGTTTTGGCCTCAATACAAGGTGTTAGCCAGCCATGTGAAGTCCTGTTATTTCTTTTCTTTTTTTTTTTTTTTTGGTCTGGTCATGGGGCCTGAACTCTGGGTCTGGGCGCTGTCCCTCAGCTCTTCAGCTCAACGCTAGCGCTCTACCACTTGAGCTACAGCGCCACTTCCGGCTTTTTTCTTTTTGCTTATGTGGTGCTGAGGAATCGAACCCAGGGCCTCAGGCATGCAAGGCAAGCGCTCTACCACTTAGCCACTTTCTCAGCCCAAGTCCTGTTATTTCTAGTTTGAGGGCCTAGACATATATTTTACTAGTCATATTAACACTGCATAAATGACATTTTGATCCTTAAATAAATGGTTCTTTACTGTGGGCTAGGAATCATCAGGTAAGCTAATACTAAGATACAGCCAAGTACATTATTTTGGGACAAGTCCCGTGTATTCAGAATTTTTGTTTTTGTTTTGGTACTGGTGATTGAACTCAATGCCTCAAGCTTATTAGGCAAGCACTGTAATACTGGACCATGACTCTAGTCCTTCATTTGTGTGTGCTTGTATGTTTGTGTGTTTGTGTGTTGGTGCATGCTTGTCCTGGGCTTGAAATAAGGGCCTAGGCGCTGTCCTTGAACTTTTTGCTAGCATGCTACCTTGAGCAACAGCTCCACTTCACGCTTTTCAGTGGTTAATCAGAGATAAGAATCTCATGGACTTTTCTGCCCAAGCTGGCTTCGAACCATGATCCTTAGATCTCAGCCTGCTGAGTAGCTTAGATTACAGGCATGAGCCATTGGTGCTCAGTCTTTCATTGGGAATTTTTTAAAGTGCGTTAGATCTGAATGTTAGGTCTGGATTGAGAACTATACTGCCCTAAGATCAGTATCCATTCAGCAGAATATTTTAGGGTAAAAGATTACATGTATTTGACATAGTGTTATTTTATGGCATAGAATTAAAATATTAGATGAATTAATTTTGTTACTAAGTTTTATACAGGAACAAAAATGTAAGTGAACATTGCTATCTAATGACTATCGACGGAGAGGCATATTTTAAGTATTTCTTGGTTGTTTTGTATCACACTTAAAGTCTAGTTAGAAATTAGCAGTATTTTTCAATCTCTTTTTACCACCTCCCTCAAATGATCATTTTCTTTCCAGAAACTATCAGTTTATATAATTCCTAGATTATGTTTTGGCTTCTATATGAATACATATAGTCTTTATACAAGTGTCATTGAGTGTTGGGAAGTATATTACTGCTGTCATGATAACCTTGAGTGCTAAGTTTTTAACTAAAAATGCTAGAGTCAGAAACTGCCACAACATTCAAAAACTGTATTCCATTACTGCCTTTTTAAAATAAGAAATTTTCCTTGAGTTGGTTTCACTGAAGCTCTCAGTAAATATAGAACAATGACAGGATCTTTTTAATGGGTAAACATTGGAGCTGAGGATAGAGCTTAGCGTGCCTAAGGACCTCAGTTCAATTTCCCCATCCCTTAAAAACAGGTTTAAAATAGCTAGAGTTTATCCTAGGTTAACTTTATAACATGCTTTTATGTTTTTGTGATACAAATCCAGCCCAATGACTGATATTTTAAAGAGAAACAAAACTATCAAGAAGTACTGGAAAAGCACAGCAGACAAGAGGAGGCTCTGCCCTGCCATGAAGTGTGGCTTTCTGTAAAGAAACCTTGCTGCCCTCATTTCTAAAAGAAGGGACTTAGAGCCCAAGGCCTGTGGCTCACACCTGTAATCCTAGCTACTTGGGAAGCTAAGATTTGAGAATCAAGGTTTGAATCCCACCCAGACAGAAAAAATTGAAAGACTCATCTCCAGTTAACCAGCAAAAAGCTGATGGTATAGATATGGCTCAAGTCAGTAATGTTTGTAAAGAAACATTACCATCTGGGATAAAAAAATATGATGTGCTTTTAAACTTTTTTTCACAAATAACTAAAAATCATATTGAAAATATTATTTGAACTTATCTTCTCTGCTTATCTGCTAATGTCTGAATCACAAGGCAGTTCTGTTTGGAATAGTTTGAGGACCATCTGTACCTTCTTTTCCTGAAAATAACCCAGTGTGGACTAAATAGAGTGCATAAAATAAAGAGTATTATAACTTGACTGACTTTTAAAGCCATTAATGCTGACCTTTGAGACCTGGCCTTTTCTGTGGTCACATCAATCAATTCTGTGCCACCTCCCCCAATATAAAGGCTCAGACACAGGTGGAAACAATTTATGTTACTGCAGATTATGGTAGTGGGGAGAGGGAGGGAATGAATAAAGGCACTACCTTGTTTTAATTCTTATATTTTATAATAATTATACCATATTTGACTTGCAAGTGGATAAATATATTAACGCTTTTCTATATTTAGGTTATACTATTAGACATTACACTGGAACTTCAGAAACAAATTATGTCTGAATTGGAAATTCTTTACAAGGTAATTTTTCCCTGGTCACTTTCACTTGTAAAACAGTGGGGCATGTTGGCTTTCAGGTTTCTAACTACCTTTTGTCTTATTTTTGTTGCAGTGTGACTCATCATATATCATAGGATTTTATGGGGCATTTTTTGTAGAAAACAGGATTTCAATATGTACAGAATTCATGGATGGTAAGCTTTCACTTTTCAGTATTTTAAAAATTACTTCTGGAATAGAGAGTGCTATAAAACCTGATTTTGATATAGATGTCGATTAAAAATGATTAAAATACACTAAGAGTTGTATCCTTTATTCTTGGAAATCATCTCACTGTTAGAGATTCCTGGTGTTAAACATTTATAGCTGAGCTATAATTTCAAGAATGTAACTTCATTTACTTTTATTGAAAATTTAAATAGAAGAGATTAAATACTAGTCTATTTGGTGACTTGATATTTGATTCTTGCATGCAATCTGTCTTTACTTGCAAAACAGATGTTCTCTTCTTCTAATGTTTCAATAGCCAAAACAGATTTTCTTTTAAAGAAATCTATTAACCCAATGTCCTGTGTGTTTTAGAAAGAAATCAGTTCTTAATTGCAAGATAAGAAATTGTTTTTCAACACAGCTGTTTTGCCAAGATGTGTTTAGTTTTCTTTGGAGTTCTTTCTTCCTCCTATATTTTTTATTCATTCTGTTTTATTAGATCATTCTTGATTTGAATATTGTGGCAGTAATACAGATTTCTAGGAGTGCTATCAGTGCAAATGATGGTATTCTGATTATTTTTCACTCTTTTGCACTCAGGCAGTCTTTATATTTTATATGATCAATCCATTAAAATGCCACTGTGAAATTTACCTTGTATAACTAATAAATGCTAATGTTAAAAAAGCCCTAGCCAGGTGCCAGTGGCTCACACCTATAATCCTAGCTACTCGTGAGGCTGAGACCTGAGGATCACAGTTCAAAGCCAGCTCATGCAGGAAAGGCTGTGAGACTCTTATCTCCAATAAACCAGCAGAAAACCGGAATTGGTGCTGTGGCTCAAAGTGGTAGAGTGCTAGCCTTGAGCTGAAGAGCTGAGGGACAGTGCCCAAACCCAGAGTTCAAGCTCCATGACCAACACACACACACAAAAAGCCCTAAAGAACAAAGAACAAATTGGGTGCCAGGGGTTCAGGCCTGTAATATTGACTACTCAGGAGGCTGAGATTTGAGAAACACAGTCTGAAGTCATCATAGGTAGCCAAATCTCAGAGAGTCTTTATCTCTGGTTAACCAGTAAAAAGCCCGAAATGGAGGTATGGCTCAAGTGGTAGATTGCCATCCTTGACCAAAAAAAACTAAGGGACAATGCCCATACCTGAATTGAAGCCCCAGAACTGGCACAGAAAATAAAAGAGAAAAGGAGGCAATATTTAAAAATATATCTACTTAGCTCCTAGTAGGAATTCTTAGTATGATACTAAAACAATTTATTCATGCACTGTAGTGAGCCAACATTTATAACTGGTCTTATAGTAAATATATAATACATTAGTTCTAGTAGAGGTCAAGCCTGAGAAGGAGAGTAATGGAGACTTTATTTTCAATTAAACACCAAAAAAGGTGGAAGTGGAGTTGTGGCTCAAGAGGTAGAGTACTTACGTGGACAGCACCCAGATCTTGATTTCAAACTCCATTACCCCAATTCAACCCCCACCCCCATACACATTAAAAAAAGTCTCTTGGATTTGTTTGCTGGGGTGGCTTCCAACCTCAATCCTTAGAGCCTGTGTCCAGGAGTAGAACAGCAGGACCACATGGTAGTTGTATTTTTAGGTTCTTGATAAACTTTCATTCTGATTTACTTCATACCTGGAACTAATGTACATTCCAGCAACAGTGTATACCCTGACACCTTGCTGACATTTCTTGATGATGGCTATTCTGTCTGAATAGGATGGAATCTTACTCAATATAGCTTTGATTTGCATTTTCTCTGTGGCTAAAGATGTTGAACACTTCTTCATGTATATAGTGGCCATTTGTATGTCTTTTGAAAATGTTTTATTTGCCCATTTATTCATTAGGTTATTTGCTTATTTAGTGTTTAATATTCTAGGTCTTTGTATATTCTGGCTATTGAGCCTTTATTTAATAAATAGTTGGCAAAGATTTGCTCCTATTCTGTAGTCTGCCTTATGACTCTTGATAATTGTTTCCTTGATATGGAGGTTTTTAATCTGAAGCATTTGTTAGTTTTGAGCTTGTTCTCTGAACTGTTGTGTTCTTATTTAGAAAATCCCTGCCTATGCCTATATCTTGAAGTGTTTTTGCTTAGTAGTCTGATTTAACATTGATACCTGTGATCCATTTGGAATTGGTTTTTATTGTATAGGCTGAGAGGGATTCAGTTTCTACACATGGAATTTTTCTAGCACCATTTGAAAGTGGTTATATTGTCTCAAACATAATTTTTGGCATTTTTATCAAAAGTCATAATGGCTGTACATGTATGCACTTATTTCTAGGCCTGTTATTCTATTCCATTTGCGCTCCTCTCCCTCTCCCTCGCCCCTCCCTCTTCCTTTCCCTTTCCCTCTCCCTTTCCTTTCTCCCTCTTCCTCTTCCTCTTCCTCTTCCTCTTCCTCTCCCTCTCCCTTTCCCTTTCCTCTTTTGGGGCTTGACCTCAGGGCCTGGGGCTCTTTTGCTCAAGGCTAGTACTCTACAACTTGGATCCAGAGCTCTACTTCCAGTTTTCTGGTGGTTAATTGGAGTTAAGAGTCTCACAAACTTTCCCTCTTGGGCTGGCTTTGAACCTTAATCCTCAGATCTCAGCCTCTTGAGTAGCTAGGATTATAGATGTGAACTGCTAGTGCCCGACTGTGTATATATTTTTTGTGTGCCAAACACCATGCTCTTTTTGATACTGTGGTTCTGTAATGTAATTTGAAGTTAGGAATTGTGATACTTTCCACCATTGCCTCTTCTCTCTCTCTTTTCATGGGCCTTACTCTTCTTGCTAGACATGTGCTCTAGCACTTGAGTTGTGCCAGAACCTCTTTTGCTTTAATTATTTTCAAATAGGATCTCTTGTGCCTGGGCCATTCTAGTCAATAATTCTCATAGTTATATTTCCAGAATATCTAGGATGACAGGCATGAAACCATCCCATCCGATTTTTTATTGGTTGAGGTAAGGTCTCCAAAATTATTCTCCTGAAGTGACCTCAAATTTCAATCCCCTTGATCTCTGCCTTTAGATTAGCTAGAATTATAGGATTGAGCTACAGTGCCCAGCAAGCATTTTGCTCTTTTTACTCAGGATTACTTTGGCTGTTCTGAGTCTTTTGTTATATAAATTTCAGGATTTTTTTTTGGTTCTATGAAGATTTCTTTTGGTATTATTTTCTAGTGTCTTTTTCTATTTCTTTTCTCAGTGTTGTAGTTTTTTATTGTAGAGGTCTTTGACCTCTTCATTTAAGTGTTCTCTAGTGTTTTTTGCTCTTGAAGCTATAATTGCAAATGGAATTATTTTCCTGATTTCTTTCTCAGCTTGTTCATTGTTAATATAAAGAAAAGGTACCGATTTTTTTGTTTGTTGATTTTCATATTCTAATACTTTGTTGAAAATTTTATCATTTCTAAGAGCTTTCTGGTTGAGACTTTGGCTCTTTTAAGTACAGGATCATATCATCTACAAATAGGAATATTGTGACATCCTTTCACATTAATATACCTTTGTTTCTTTTGCCTTCCTGTTCTAGCTAAAAATTCAAGCATTATATAATTGAATGGACAGAGAGAATGATCAGTGACCCATTCATCACTCAGATGATCCTTTTCTCATTGGTAGTTATAGAGGAAATACTTTGTTTTTCATTTTTTACATTGTTGATTATAGGTTTGCTGTATTTAACTTTCCTTATATAGACATATGGTCCTTCTCTTCCGAGTTTCTTCAGGAGTTGCATCATGAAAGAATACTGAGTTTTATCAAAGATTTTTTTTCTTTTTCTTTTCCTTTTTTTCTTTTTTTTTTT